TTGGTTAATCTCAAACCAGGCCAGCCTTGATGTCTGAAAAACAGCTTTGCCAAGAATCAGGTCTTGCTATTTCCTGGGGTAGGGGCCTACGGCTCCCGACATGGGTCCTTGGCCAGGACTCCCTTATTAAACTGTACCCACCCAGGGCTCAGGGATCATTGTGGAAGAGGGGGTGGAAAGATTGTAAAAGCCACAGGATGAGGTGCATGAACACATGGATACAGAGTCTTACAGGTTCCTGGGGACTTGCACATATGAACTTAACAATGGTGACAGCATGCATAACATCCACACAAACACAAGCAGACAAAACCAGCATAGAACTGTGGAAATGGGCAGTGGGCCACAAACTTAGCCAAAGAACTATGTGACAGCTGATTACTGCTGGATAAGGAAGACTTGATCATTTTCAAAGGAGGAATTCTAGATAGGCTGACTAGACTCCAGTGAATAAATGTTCACTGAAGAATATCAGGGGATACTAACTTGACTTGATAGGCCTTAACATAAATGACAGGATGTATGAAATCCACTGATAGTCTTGAGAGGGTACAGATGGGGAAGGGGGTATAAAGATGACTAAGATGCTGTGTGTGAGATACACAAAAATTCAATAAAAAGAAAAGAAAAAGATAAAAGGGGAGAATATGTCTTCCAGCAGCAGAAAAGTCTCTCCCAATATCAGTAAAGAATATTCAGATGGATAGGGTAACAAAGTTCACTGTAAATCCAGGTTACCTCCACAATTAAAGAACAAACTGGGTGATAAAAATATAAGAACTTCTCATGCTATTTAATTATTTTATACAATTAAAAGTACCTTAGTCAAACACTTATGCTAAAAAAAAGATTGAGTCCAAGTACCAGAATATTTAATAATGAACCAGCAGGGAGATGAAGAAAAATGGGAAATCAATAGCTGTCATGGAAGTGTGACATTCATGAGTCCAGAGCACAGAGCTTGCCCAGTACTGTCACACAGTCTATAGTGTGTTCATTACACAGAGCTCTGGGTTCCAGAAAATAAGTGTCTGCTACGGACGACAGGAACTGATACACCATGGATTTAGAAACCTTTGCTGTCAAGCATAAGCCCACCCTTAAAAGTATTTTTTTAGTTTAAAAAAAAGGCATGTATTTTACTTTACTACAACCAGCAAACACCCTCATACCTGAGATTGTTTATCCTATCTTCCATCTAGTAAGTTATTTCAAAAATAAGTCATATAAATAAAAGAGGAACTTTCTGAAATAAGTATTAATCCAATCACTAGCATTCTGTTGGTACAGTTTCTGTCTCTGTAGCAACTGACCTCATGACGCCTTCTCTCTAGGAAAACTGCAGCATGAAGCTGTGAAGAGCCCTTTCTATCTGTCATCTGAACTGTCTGAGTCCACAGTTCCCTGCAGAGCCTGAACAGCCATCCTGAACCCAAACCAGCCTATTCTAACTCCTAGGAACGTGCTATAGATAGAATAATTGTAATACTCAAAGCAAGTTCAGCTGTCCCCTAGAGAAGAAGAAAAGGGATTTGATGGTGTTTTTCTACCAGTGGCTCCTAACAAGGCACTCAGCTACCCAGCAACCTCATAATCAAATCCTTATGAGCAGCTTTTTGGGTTAAATCTACAATCTACTCTTTCCTTGCAATCCTGAATAGTGTTTCCCGCTTTTCCTAATCAGGTGTAGAATTTGTTATAATCTAGGCATGATTATATGTTTTTAAATTTGCTTTTTTTTTTTTTTTTGGTCTTTTTGAGAGAGGGTCTCCCTGTAGCCCTAGCTGTCCTGGAACTCACTATGTAGACCAGGCTGGCCTTGAACTCACAGAGATCCGCCTGCCTCTGCCTTCCAAGTGCTAGTATTAAAGGCATGCACTACCACGCCCGGCTTAAATTTGCTTTTATTGAATTTTTGTGTATTTCATAAAAAAACATCTCAAACAATCTTAATCATTTTTGTACCGGGGTGCCTACCAACATCCTCCCATATACCATCCCCACACACTGGAACCCATATATTCTGTCATCTGTCATAAGGCCCACTGTGTCAAATCACAGTCCCCAGACATTCCCCAGTGCAAGTCTATCCACTGAGGTCTAGTCAGCCTATCTAGAGACCCTTGTTTTAGGAAGATCAGCTCTTCCTCACCTAGCAGTAGTCAGTTGCCAATAATTCTTCAGCTAATATTGGGGTCTGTTGTTCATTTCTCCAGTTCTATGCTATGTTTTTGTTTGCCTGAGTTTGCATGGGACTTGTGTATGCTTACAGCATTGCCTTAAAAATCATATGAACAGGGTCCCAGGAGCCTGTAGGACTGTTTCCACATGGTCATGCACCTCCTCCATGGCTCTTATAATCTTTCTGCCTCCTCTTCCACAATGCTCTCTGAGCCCATTTTTTTTTTTTTTTTTAAGAGAACATTTTTATTTTGCATTTAGTTGCTAACTTTTTTTTTAATTTTTAAAAATGATTTATTTAATAACAACATACTTAGAAGAAGCATATCATTACAACACAATTGACATATTCAATAACGGTTTCCTGAGGTAGGATGCATCTCTTTCAAAATTGGCTGTAAATTTTTAGGTTTACAGTTGAATTATTACAGTTATACAATATTGTACTCAGTATAAACCCTATAAGACATAAATTAAATGATGTTTTAACCTTTAAAAAAGATCTCCATTTCATTATTAAAATACACAGTTTCAT